GTTGAAACGTCAAATTTGACGAGACGTCACTTATGTCAAGTATACAAAAGCTTTTGGGTTCAAACGTCAAATTACAATTTTAAAAACATTATTTTAAAAGTGGCCTCAGTCCAATTAATTATTGATAATGTCCGAAAGTGCGGATCTTCAAATTTATATTTAGTAGGTGTTTCCCAGGTATTCAATTAAAACGAAGGTGATTCGTACAGGTGTTCAATTAAAACGCAGGTGTTCAATAAAAATGCAGGTGTTTCGCATGACTATATTTGGCACTATTTAATAGTTTTATTGTTTTCTTATCTTTGCAGCTGCAAAATTTTATCTTTGTTTCAATTAAAACTTAAACGAAAAAATATTTTAAATCTATATTTTATAATTAAAAATACAACAATTTCTCTCTTTATAAGTAAATTTACCCAATTATCGTCAATAGCCCTTTGTATGTTGTTATACAATAAATTTTGTTTGTTATTTTTTATAATTGTTATGTTTATATATAATAAAATTAGATTTAATTCAATAATTTTGCAAAAGTTAAAAAGGTAAAAAAACAAAGAATCCTTCATAATATTAGACTATAAAAATAAATTATTTACTTAATGTTTATTTATTATTAAATAAATGCTAACTTTAATTCTAGAATTATAATTTAAATTATATTGGATTGCAAAACTTTAAAAAATTCATGAAAATTATTGAAAAAATCTGAAATTTCTGAAATATTTACAAACCCTATTGCTCTAATTAAAAAAGAATAATGAAATGTTTATATTTAGAGAATCATCAAAAAATATAAGTAAATAATACTTTTCTAGCATTAATTGTAACATAAATTGGTATTTAATTTGCTTATTTCATAATTATTCATATTTTACTTCAAAGTGCATTAAACATGGAGCAGATGTTTCATGCAGGTGTTCAATCAAAACGCAGGTGTTCAATAAAAATGCAGGTGTTTCGCGTTGCATGACTATACTTGGCACTGTTTAATGATTTTATTGTTTTCTTATCTTTGCACCTGCAAAAGTTTATCTTAATTTTAACTAAAAGTTAAACGAAAACAATGGAAATTTATTAACTATAAAAGTAATGAATCATTAAATGAAATAATAAAAGACGCGCCTCCTATGCGTTGAATTACATATATTTTAAACCTACATTATATAATCAAAAATACAACAATTTTTATCTTCATAAGTAAATTTACCCGGCTAATCCACCATTTAATATAAGCAAAATTGTAATTACAATATATAGTTTTTTTTATTTTAAATTTGGGCGGTAAAACTATGGTCAATACCCATTTGTATGTTCTTATACAATAAATTTTGTTTGTTATGTTTTATAATTGTAATGTTTATATATAATAAAATTAGATTTAATTCAATAATTTTGCAAAAGATGAAAAAGTAAAAAAATAAAGAATCCTCTATAATAATAGACTAAAAATGAATTATTTACTTAATGTTTATTTCACCTTAAAGAAATGCTAACTTTAGTACTAGAATTATAATTTAAATTATATTGGATTAATTGCAAAAACTTGATGAAAATGAAATTATTGAAAAAAAAATCTGAAATTACTAAAATATTTAGAATTTGGCAATATTTAATGTTTTTATTGTTTTCTTATCTTTGCAGCTGCAAAAGTTTATCTTTGTTTCAACTAAAACTTAAACGAAAAAATATTTTAAATCTATATTTTATAATTAAAAATACAACAATTTTTAGTATTTCTAGAATCACAAGAATTTGGACAGAAAAACTATAGTTAATAGAACTTTGTATGTTGTTACATAATAAATTTTCTTTATTATTTATTATTGTAATTACAAACAATGTAAAATGATAATTTTCCAAAAGTTTAAATTATTAAAAAAAAGTAGAAAATTACTGAATTAAAACTATTGCTCTAATTTAAAATTCTCATTAATTTTCTGTACTAATTCTTACAATGTAATTACACAATTTTAGTAAACTAAAAAAATAAGAATCGTTCATAATAACAGACTTGAAATGATAAATTTCATTCAAGAATTGTAATTTTGTATTAATATTGGATTAATTGCACTAAATTATTTCAAAACTTTATAAAAGTAAAATTATTGAATTATAATTATTGTTCCAATTAAAAATTCTCATTAATTTTGTGTAATAAAACATACATTATATGTTATTACACAATTTTAGTAAACTAAATTATTTAAAAACTTTATAAAAGTAAAATTATTGAAAAAAAATCTAAAATTACTGAAATATTTACACAACTATATTGCTCTAATTAAAAAAAAAGAAAACAATGAATTGTTCATATTTAGAGACTCACATGAATTCGATGTAAGAAACTTTTTGTTGATGTTGGAGTCGCGTAACAAACAAACAAAAATAGGAAAATTCCAAAGCCTACGTTTTCGGTAAAGTGCACGTCTCCGGCAGTTTCGAAACGACTGTGGAAAAGCGCGTCGCGACGCCGACGTCGCGCGCTCTCATCCGACGCGAAGAACACGCGCGCATTTGGAATCAGGAATATATATATATACTTTTGGTATTAGTGAAAAGAGCAAAATATGAAATAAAAGAAAAAAACAAAACAGCAATTGTATAAAACTGTGGCGAAGGCGCCGGGTATTTTATTTTACCTGATGAACCAATTCATCGTTGATAAAGGATTTTTTTCCACGGCACTAATTGATACTCGCACGAGGCATAAAATGTATATTTTTCGGTAATTTTCCACAACACAATTACTTCAAAGTATAAAAAGTATAATTTATTATTTCCACAAAAGTCCTGAAAACATTCTTTAATTAATAAATTAATTAATTAATAAATCACTGTCTTTAGAAAATTGTAAATTTAGAAAATCATTATTGAAAACGCTAATTTTATTGCTAATTGTAAATAAAATTTTACAAAATTTTTAAGTAATTATTCTAAAAAAAAAATATAATTACAATAATTTTCATAATATAAAATAAAATTAAGAAATTTCACATTCTTGGAAAGGCTGCATTACGTGTGTCGCCTTTGAATGCGATCCTTTTCAAATGAAAGAATTACGTTTACTCAAAGTATTTCTTCTGTTTTTATATGAAGAAAGAAAAGTTTAATTAAGTTGTGAATTGTTTCAGGATTTCTTGGAAGTTATTCCTGCAACGATTTCACGAACTGGAGCTGTTTGCTTAAGCAATAGCCTTCTCAGACATTGGGTAGATGGCGGAGCTCGATGCACAATTACAGCGAAGTATTGTATAGATGTAAAGAAAGAAAGAGAAAAACAATAATTGCCACTGAATCATTCGTATTGTTGCAATAAATCGTTCCGAATTGGAGACGCTCGAGACTTTATAGTTTAAGTTTCAAAAGATGCACCACACCCGACCTAGTATCTATCGGAACGGCACTTGGGAACTACCGAACTCCGCTCGTAAAAATAGTTACGATATTCCATATAAATATCGCAATGATTTGAACATTTTTCCGCTATTTTCCAACCAGGCGTCAGCGATTAAATAGAAAAAAAATTGTTTATAAAACCGCGACATTCGATACGCTTGTAAGTTAATTGAATTATAAAAGTTTCCGCGATTTCATTTTATAGTGAAAACTAAAGTTTTCGAAACTTTTAATACCGCAACATAATAATGAATATAGTTAACAAGTTTTAATCCTCAGAAATCTACTTAATAAGTAATTGATTCTATGACTATTTGAATATTGTAAACAGTAAAAAATAAATTTATAAAATACGAATTTTAAATGTAATCATAGTATACAAATTGAGTTTGTTAAAAAAATGTAATGCAATTTGCGTTGAAAGTTTGATAGTAGTAATTTGAGATTAGAGGTTTGTAAGCTATCTCAATGATTCTTCGCGAAATTAGAAGACTCGTTTATGGTGGGAAAGAAGTATAAAGTATAATGATGTTAGAGTTTGCAGGCGGACGCGTTTAATTTCCATGCAAAAGTTGGCGGAGATTGGCCGGAGTTGGAAGAGGAAATCCAGGACAACTCGGTTAAGTGTTGAATATTCTGTGGATTTATTAATGATTCCATTCTTCGGAGCTCGGGAATTTAATAAGTGGAACGTCTCGAGTTTTTCAAAACCTACCCTTTCTTCCTCCTATCTTGTATTTAGTGTTTAGAAACTTGAAAAAAAAAACTAATAAAAATAAATCATTTGCGCTACAAAGTGAATTAAAATTAATAAGAGTTTAATTTAAAATTAGCAAGAAGAGAAAATTGAGTTTGAAAAGCTCTGATATAGAGTTTAGTGAAAAAAAGGGGGAAAAAAATACGGAAGTGGCGAGACACAGGAGTTTGCTTATGCATGAAGGGAGGATGCGCATCTGCGGTGCTCGAGTCTTCAGGAAAAGTTTCGCAAAGCAATTTCTGGGCCGTTAGGAAGTTTCGTTAAACTTCCGCGAAACTGCATTCAAAGAGATCGCAGCAACAGGAACGCAACGCGAGGCACAGAACAAAATGCACCGCAAAACGAAAACAAAATAATTAATATTTAAATCAACAACAATAATAATACAATTATTGCTGATTATCAGCAATTAAGTAATTATATTGTGTTTAGAAATTACTTTTATTAATTGATTATGCAATAAGTTAATAGTTTTCGAAGAATTCTACTAGCAATTTGTTGTTTTTTCTATTGTTTATGATATTTTTTGCAAAAATAAATTAAATTTTAATTACTTATAATTATAATTGTCAAAACTTCATTGATTTTTTCGATTCATCAATTAAAACCATGCAGAATTTTAATTAATACTTTTAGTAAAATCTTAATTGAATTACAATAAATTAATTATCTGTTTAAATTCCTGTGCACATTTGTTCATTATAGAAATTGATTACTTTATAATGATGATAGTCGACAAAAGGAAGCACGTGCATATCAATGCCATCAATCAAATTACGCAATAAAATAACCTAGTTTATTATTAGCATTGTGTATAAAAACTCAATCATTGATTTTACAGCGACGCATTCAAAATTCTTGTCCGTTTGGAGATGCTGAAGTACTCGCATGTAATTCAAAGCGTTTGCTTCATAACATTTCCATTACTTTCGCTCTCACATCCGATTAACAACGTGTGCAAATCGTACTTGGATTATCCCACCAGAGAATGGAACAAGAACTGCCATTACGATCCTCTAATTTCAGCGACGATTGTAAGTTGTGAATGATATAACTTTCAAATTTTGTGATTTATTGCGATTGAAGCCAGAGCTAATAGTTGGTTATGTATATGATTACGAAGATTTCACTGTAATCACCGAAGATGGATACGTTTTGGGCTTATACCGTTTGGTGATGAATACTTCGGATTCGGCTAAAGCTGGAGTTTTGTTGATGCATGGGGCTACAGTCTCTGGATCAATTTGGGTGGATAGACCGAAAGAACGTTGTTTGGGTAAATGTTAAATAATGCCAAAAACAATTAGATCATTTCATTGATTGCAGCTTTCAGATTATGCGATAGGAATTTTGATGTTTGGATCGCGAATTTTCGCGGAACGATTTACTCGAACAAACACATTCATTTCGCTGGAAACAGTTCGGAATATTGGAATTACTCGTAAGTTAATTGTAATCTTCTGTTACAAAAAAAACTAATTGGTGATTAGATTTCACGAGATTGGTATTTACGATATACCAGCAATTTTGGAGACGATTTACGAAAGGAACGGTGGTAAAAAGGTCTTTCTGATAGGCATTTCGATGGGAGGAACTGCAGCAACTATCTACGCTTCATTGAAACCAAAGCATTGTGAAAAGCACGTGAAAGCTATCATCTCTATGTCCGGTTCCATTTTCTTCACTGGAATTACGTCAATATACAAGCATATATCGCCGCACGTCTACGATCTATACGTAAATTGAACTAAGCAAGATTTGAAGGAATGTTTTTAAGTATTGTTGCAGAAATTTGGGGAATCGATTGGATTCCGGAACTTTGCACCGAGTATAATAACGAGATTCACGCTGCTCAGAGATTTCCTCACAAACTTTCCACCTGCTAGAATACTGATGCAGGTATTCCTCTTCTCCACTTTCGGCTACGACTCCACAGGAATCCATGAGGTTCACTTCAATCGTCTTCCTTTTTATATTAAATATTAATTTATTTTTACTTAGGGCTTTTATCCAAGCATCTTAGGACATGTACCTGCTGGAATTTCGCTGAAAACCATCCTGCACTACGCGCAGCTCGTCACCAAAGAAGATAAATTCGACTTCTTCGATAACGGACCTAGTGAAAACCTGAAGATCTACGGTGTCCGCGACACTCCCGCTTATCCACTAGAGAACATAAACACATTCTTCTACATCCTAGCTGGTGGAAACGATACGCTTGTTACACCTAAAGTACAAAGCTTTTACCAATCATACAAGATCTAATTCACAACTATTGCTGTTACAGGGCTGCAGAAAATTTTACGATCTTCTTGCCGAAGACAAGAGGAAAATGGACATTATCGAAGGTTACAACCATATACACTGGTTGTATGGTGAAGACCTCGATAAGGGCTTCATTCCTACCATAGACTTTATGGAAAATAATCTCAATTTGTGACGCTTCTCCAATTATATTAATTAAAAAATCTATTAATTAAAAAAAAAAGACAATTAATTCATATAAAATTTCCACATTCGCAATTACATAATGATGCAATAAAAACATTATTTTAACATTTAATTATTACAAAATTTATTTAAAAATTGCAAAAAATTTAAACCATCTGCCTTCAACCTTTTCTACATTTACGTACCAACGAAAATATGAGAAATATTTCACAAATCGATTAACGTATAAGATAGAAATTAAAAAAATAATGTAAATATTAAATAGAGAATTTTATAATAATAAATTATTAACAAAAATGAACTAAATTACGAAACAGCAGACCAACAGGTTGAAGAGGACTGGTTTGAATTGTAAAATGGAGTAAATTTCATTATAAAATAATGAATTATGTTTAATTACAAATAAATACCAGAAACGATTGCAATAATTCAATATATGTTAAATAAATAATGTCAATTACAGGAAATTGCTGCAATCGTCCAGCGCATTTCTGTTATAAACTCATTGAAACTATTTATTCTTATTAAATTATGCTACAGTTTTATTTTAATTAAACTAAATCAATTACAATTTTCTAAGAATGTTGTTCCAGTTCGTTGAAGATGTTCAAACACATAGCTCTGATGCAAACGCTAATAACAGTGGCATTTTCCGCTAATAATATATGTAAATCATATCTGGATTATCCCACCAAGGAAGTGAACGAGAATTGCTACTATGATCCGATGATTTCAGCCACAGTTGTAAGTTTATATTTTATAAATTTAAGTTTATTAATCTTTTATTTAAGCCTGAGATGATCATTGGATATGGCTATGGTTTTGAAGAGTTCCAAGTGATAACCAAAGATGGTTACGTTTTGAGTTTAATGCATTTGTCTAGGAATAATTCGAAATCTACTAAAGCTACCGTCTTGTTGTTGCATGGAGCAGCAGGATCATCAGCTTATTTCGTGGATAAAGGACCGAAAGTTTCTTTAGGTGAAACTAAATTATTATAATGTTAATAACAATTATTGATTTTTGCTTGTAGCTTTTCGTTTGCACGACAGAAACTTCGATGTTTGGTTGGGGAATTTCCGCGGTAATCTTTACTCCAAATCGCACAAATCTTACGATACTGATGATTCAGAGTTTTGGAATTATTCGTAAATTATTTTACAAATTATATCTAAATTTATTGTTAACTTTTTGTAGAATGCACGAAATTGGAATTTACGATATACCCGCAATGTTGGAAACTGTAGTAGCAAAAACCGATGGACGTAAAGTTTTTGTGGTGGGTCATTCAATGGGTGGAACATCTTCAGTGATTTATTCATCGTTGAGACCGGAACACGCTGAAAAACATGTAAAAGCTTTCGTTTTCATGGCGATTTCGGTGTTCTTCACCGGAATAGAATCAACGATCAAAGAGATTACACCATACGTTCGATACTTTCATGTAAATAAAAAAATTGAGAATGTCAAAGTCGAATTTTATGAAGATTTTTCAGAGATTCGGAGATTCGCTTGGAATCAGAGGGCTTGCATTAAACGAAGATGAAGGTATGAAGATTATTGCTGAATTAGCTTTGAATGTTCCGATGTATAGAAGAATGTACATGGCTGTACTCGACTCGTTATTCGGGTATGATCCTGAGATGTTCTACGAGGTAAACGCAAACAACTTTTATTTTTGTTAAAAGTTAAAACTTTATTTGCAGCCGACGTTTCCAACTTTCCTATCCCACAATCCTTCAGCGGTGTCTTTGAAGATTCTGATACACTACGCGCAACTCATCCAGGAAAAGGTAAAATTCCAACAATTCGATTACGGTTCAAGCGAAAACTTGAAGATCTACAACCAATCGAAGCCTCCACAATATCCCATAGAAAACATCAACAAATTCATCTATATTTTAGTAGGTGAAAGAGATACTTTGGTCACAATCAAGGTTAGTAATCAAATTCAACAAATGCATGTAAACAATTCAATTATTCATAGAGCTGCAAGATGTTTTACGATCTTCTGAAGGAAGGTATGAGGAAGTTCGAGGTTGTTCCAGGCTTCAACCATTTACATTTCGTTTACGGTAAAGATCTTCACGTCGCCTACGATCCACTCATTCATTTCCTTGAGAACAATTTAAACCTGTAAGACAACGCGATCTTCAGTTTTTTAATTTGCTTGACAACCTTCGGTTCAAATGCGAACAAACATGTTATCATAAACTTTGCACTGTAATTGTTGCAATACAGATAATAAAAAACAAATAATAATAATACTTCATGTCTTATTACAACAAATTAACATTATGTAATGTAAATTTTATTAAAATTCAATTAGTCTTTAGAGTGTGAGTCGTATTATAGAGAATTTACATTAAAGATTTGTGAGGTCAAGGCAATAAATTGTCAATGTCGGAAGGGTCGACGTTTTGCGACGGGCGAAAATTAGTGTTGCATTTAACACGAACCCCGAGAGCATTGTTGGACTTCAATTAAGAAAAGGGGGCCGAAACGCAATTGTTTGCAGAACCCAGGGTTTCTTTGATACGACCAATTACAACGCCACGCATTTAAAAAAAAAAACGTGAATTTTACAATCTTTAATAATTAATGTTTCGTTAAAGAATACGTAATAAAATTATACGTTTTTATGTATCAATTCTAGCAAGTATTCGATCCTTGAATACTCCTGGAAATAATCAATAAAACACTTGTTGTTACCTCATTTCAATTCAATTCAGTTAATCCCAGTTGAAGTTTGATTTATGCAATCGCTTTTACGTTTCGAGCAATTTGCATTTGTGTCACCCGGTAAAGGGAGACTCCGAAATCTAAATAACTATTAGTTATGTAAATGGATGGAAACCATCTGGACATTTATTTGTAAATCAAATTCGACCATTTTCGATTACTGCATACTTTTGTTATGTATAACCGTTATTGTTTATATTATGTTAGCCCTTATTATTTTATACATGTTTATTTATGTAAGTCATTAAGACTTAGAACAAATACCAAAACTAATCATTGTGTAATGACTATTCGTAATCACCATGTTGTGAACAAACTTGAAGGTCCAGTCTATAATGAACTTTAATATGTACATCTGCCTAATGACTTACGAATTAGGGAAAGCTAGGTACTATCTTTCCTTTTCCAAATATAGTACTCCCACTATGTTAATTCCATACTATAAAATATGATGTTTATGTAATACAAAGTCAGTCTGGAAAAGAGTCTGAAGTCAGGCTGAGGGTAAGTCTTACCTAAGGGGCCGAACGGAGAAGTTGGTCTTACTTGGAGAGTCCAAGGAAGAGCACTAAACACTAACTTAAGAGCAGAATGTAACTCTTAGTTAATAATACATGAGATCAACTATTGTTTAGTTGACTTCTCAATAAAACTACGATGTATACAATAAAACTAAATTAAGAATATTGCATTTAATATTCATAAACCCCTCTAAGACTCCGCAACGACATAACAACGAGATAATCCATGGTGTCCAAGGATTTCTTAACCCTGGGACACGACACTTTAATGTTAGTTTATTTTTCGTAATTATTCATATTCTTAATTAAGAAAATAGAACACATGAATTTTTTAAATAAATTAATGATTATCGTCAAGTGTTTCGAAAATTTTGTGGATAACGAAATAAAAAATTATATAAGGAGGGCTGAAAACAACAATAATTACATAAGTTTTTGTATCTAACGTTATCTGCTGATACATTTTAATTGTGTCGCTAATTGGCCTTCCGTTAATCATCTGACGTGCCAGGTATATAACAAAACAGCGACGTTTATTTCCTTGACTCCTCATTGTTTGCATTTACTTTTGTTATTATTTTTTTCTAAGCAATGCTGATACGATGTGCGCTTTTGTTCTCGATGGTAACAGTCGGCATTGCGAGTAATGACACATATGTTTGCAAGAATTTCGTGAATTATGCCTACGCAGAATACTCTCCACATTGCAAAAAGAATGGAAATACTATCATGGATATGGTAAAAAAAACAGTAATAACTTATCGATGGGGTTAAAACTTTTATTTTCAGCCTGAATTGGCGATGCAGTATTGCAAAGTGGAGAGGTACCAAGTGATAACAGAGGATAAGTATAATTTAACAGTTTTCCGTTTGAAACCGAAAGGAGGTAAAGCCAAGGGCGTCGTGTATCTGCAGCATCCTGCTACTGCTTCGTGCACCTGCTGGGTGGATAAGGGTTGGGACGATTCGCTGGGATTGAAGCTGCATAAAGCAGGATACGACGTTTGGCTGGGAAACTTCCGTGGAAGTTACTACTCGAGGAGCAATTTGGACTTGAAGCCGGATCAAAACCAATTTTGGAATTTCAGTTACCACGAGATGGGCATCTATGATGTCCCTCAACAAATCGACCTCATACATAAAGTCACACAAAGGAATGATATAGTGTACGTGGGTCATTCGATGGCTTCTACAGCTGCGGTCATCTACGCTTCATTGAAACCCGAGCACGCTTCCAAGTACGTGAAGGCCTTCCTCCTCATGGGACCGGCGATTTACATGGCCCACCTCAGGACACCCATCAAATATCTGGCTTATTTTAAGGATCCTATTTACGTAAGTCCAGAAACATAATAGTTTCAATAATAAAACAATTACGTTCCAGAAAATGGCAGAAGAACTAAAGATGCTGGAGGTATTTGAACGAAACCTGAACAAAACCAACTTTTGCAGAGACACGTCTCTGGGAATCTTTCTGTGCACCGAGCTTTCGCAAATCTTCATGGGACCGGATTCGGGCTACGTGTATGCGGTCAGCATATCGGAACTAATTGTTTTCATGAATTTTCATAATTATCATAATCGCAGCCAATGGCTTCAATCCTGTGGGGCCAAAATCCGACGTCCGTCTCTTTGAAATCCGTCCTCCATTATTCGCAAAGTATAACAAACAACGGAACTTTCAAGTTCTTCGATTACGGGAAAAAAGGGAACAGAGTTGCCTACGATCAGGATACTGCGCCGGACTATCCTATCCACAAGATGAATTCCTCGTTCATGCTGTTCGTTGGTGAAAATGATTTTTTGGCCAATGTTAAGGTTAATTCTTCAATCTCAACAACTTCAACAATTTTATTATACTTTCTTCTTTTTCATTGCTTACAGGACAACACAAACTTCTACAACGCGATTCCACCTACTAGCACGAAGCTAGGATTACATAAACTGAAGGGATTCAATCATGCCCACTTCATGTACGGAAAAGATCTCGACGAACTTATAAACACGCCGGTGCTTAACGAAATCAACAAATTGTATTCTACACAATAAATTACTCCTTTTGTTCTAAGAATTAAATAAACTTTGTAGAAATACACATTAATAACCTTTTAATTCATAATTCGCAATAATTTCATATTTGAAATACTTCAAAGTATGTTTGATACATGCAACCCAATATACATGGACTAAAAAGTACTTCTAATAATTTTTTTCCATCCATTTCTAAAGAATACAAAAATCAATATGTTAATATAAATAAAAAATATGGTCAAAAATAACAGCTTTACTAATTTAACTTCTCTTTCCTAATTTTCTCCTCACGCGAACTTAAATGGTTCTTAACTACTTAAACATAGTCTAATCTAATGCTCGTGTTATTCACACAAAATAATAATAATAATGTTATTTCAACAAGTTCTTTTCTTATGGAAAAGTTTCAACCATAAATTGTAGCACACTCAAAAACAATAACAGTTCTTCCAAAGGACGATATTAAATGTATATTAAATATAAACTAATAATGTGTAAAAAAAAAAACTAAATAATGAATTCTTATAAACAAAGCAATTACATTTGGTAGCTCAGTGCGAGTGTAGCAAACTTTGAACGAACACGTACAGTTTAGAAGATGAGAAATCTGGGTGCGATTTGTTTCGTCGCGTTTCTACTCCGTTTCGGTTTCGCTCAACGCCCAAATGTCTGCAGAAATTTCGTGGATTACATCACCTTGAATCCGAAGAACTGCTGGTACAATCCTCTGGTAGATGCCGACGCTGTAAGAATCCTAAAATAAACGAGTGGTTTCAGATGATGTTGTTTTCGATTTTCTTTTTAGGAAGATTTAATCGTGAAGAATGGATACAGCTTCGAGAAATACGAGCCGGTAACTGAAGATGGGTACATCTTGACGATGTACAGAATCCCAAGGAGGAATCCTAAAGGTATCGTGTTCCTGCAGCATCCTGCAACAGCCTCCTGCACAGGATGGATTGATAAAGGCAATAGTTCTTTAGGTAATATTACAATTCTTCATAATTTAAGAGTATCTTCTGATGCAACAAGAAGAAAATCTTCATTAGACATAAATCTAAATATAGAATATGTGTCAACAGTAATTACAATTTATTTCTCTTCATGAACTATTATAAAACAAAATAGAATATTTATTGAACGGCTAGCAGGAAAATAGTCTCAAACGTAATTGCAGCATCAATGGATAGCTATAATTGTGTAAACGATTATAGCCCGTAATTATCCAATTCAATTATATGATGTAATTAGTTCTTCGACCGCATCGCATCCCGTGCCCTTTATGGCTCATGAATCTAAATCTGAGCTACATTCCTGATTCATTTCAGAAAATCTAAATCTACTTGATCCAAAATAAATACATTTTTACATCAATAATTGATTAAATTTTAAATTACTTTTATAATTAATATGTTTACTTAAAAATGCGTTTGAATCTTTCCTCAAACAATTATAGTTAATTTAATAAACACGACATCCTTATTGAAGGACACGCTAAATACAGTTGCGGTATAGGCAACTTAATGTGCATGGATCAATATTACATTTCTTAAATTGTTGCAGGATTCATTTTGTGGAACGCAGGATACGATGTTTGGTTGGGAAACTTTAGGGGAAACTATTACTCGAGGCATCACGTGAATTTGTACCCAAACGAGTACAAATTCTGGAACTACTCGTTAGATATTTCAAATAAAAATATGATCATTGTTTTTATTAATTAAAACATATTTCCAGATTTCACGAATTAGGAGTCATAGATATTCCAACCATGCTTAAAGTCGTAGTAGATGTGACCAATGCGAAACCCAAAGGGATTTCCTTCGTCGGTTACTCCATGGCAAGCACGAGCGCTTTGATCTACGCTTCAACATTTCCCGAAGAATCCATGAATCTGTTGAACGTGATGATCCTGATGGCACCTGCAGCTTACATGAATAACGCTCATTTTATGCTCAAACACTTGAGCAGATTCACGAAAGATCTTGAGGTAAATGTCACGCTTTTTGCTAGTTCGTTAATTATAGTTTTTCGATTTAGATAATCGCAGATCGTATTCAATTGGGGGAAATCATACCGAAAAATAGAGTGACTGGGAGCATACAAACACCTTGCAAAACTATGCCACTTATGTTCTTTTGCCATATAATGGATATGGTAACATTTGGAAATACAGAACGCTCTTTGGAAGCCGTAATAATTTGTAAAGTCAAAACTACAAGATATTTATTGATCGCTTAATTTTTCAGGAATATTTTCCTATTAGGAATTCGCAGAATCCTGCTGGGCTTTCAGTGAAATGCTACTTTCATTACCTATACTTGATCAACTCCGGGAAATTTCAGAAGTACGATTACGGTGTTAATGGTAACATGAAGTTGTACGGTAGTTCAACTCCACCAGACTATGATATTTCAAAGATCAAATGTCCTGTACACGTTATGTATGCAGAATTAGATCAAGCAGTTCCAGCTAAAGTATATTAAAACTTACATTTACATAACTGAAAATTACTAAAATTAACTTTTCATTTTCAGGACGTGCTAACTCTGCTGAAAATGTTGCCTGAACGCACGAAGATCTACGGAAGCACCTTCATTCCGGACTACTCCCACATAGGTTTCTTCTACGGCGTTGACGTCGTTAATCTGGTCTATAAACCAGTTCTAAAATTAATCAATCATATTTTTGACAACCTAAATAATTAGATACATTTAAGTTATGACATTTAGTATATGGAATATCTCAGCTATCAAATGCATCTGTTTGAAGGCACAATTATAGTTAAATAATAGTTATTAAATAAACAATAAATTCGTTCACGACTTTTCGTTATATAATGTCAAGTTATGATTGCAAAATACGAAGTAATTAGAGCTTGTTGCACCAGAGAAAATCGATGGAACTAATTTAAACGCTTTAATAATTCACGAATCGAATGTCGAAGTTCGTAACGAAACGCGTTACGAAATAAATTCGGAAACATGTCCAAATTTGTTCTTGATAGTTGTGAACTGAAAATCAATTTATTTTTGTACCAAAACATACCAATATTAGTAAATAAATAATGTTATATACATACATCTGAAGATTTGTTACTGCACATGTTTTATTTTGAATTGCAACAACAGATGTCGACATAATTACGATAGTTGATTGAATGGTGCATCGTTATAAGAGATACACTTAATTAAGACAAAATTAATGACACACCTGCACGCATGGTATTAGCATGAAATAACGTAGATGAACGCAAACTGTAATTAAGGATTACGACTGATAATTATCTGCACAGATTGCATTTGGAAGCTGTAATTTATTAAAAATTAATTAAAATATTCAACAGAAAACACTGATTTTCATAGCAACTATAGATAATAGATCCAACATATCATATAATTCGCACATAATCAACATATAATTAACAAATAAAAAATCATTTTTTAAATTTTATTGGTTTTATCGAAAACTATAATACATAGAATGAATCAAAAAGATGCATATGAAAGCTGAATGTTTGGGGAATGTAGCAAGTATTCATATATTACTTTGGTTTTATCCGTTTGGCTGTAATTCGCATTCAATGTTGAAAAAATTCTCGAAAAAGCAGTGTTTTCACATT